CACTCGGTTGTATTCTGGATGGAAAGACAAACAAAGAAGACAGGGAGGGCTAGTACCTGACCGGCAACTCAAAGACTCAGACTTAGACTTAGACTTTGATTTAGACTCAGAGTCAGACTCAGACTTAGACTTAGACTTAGACATAGACTCACACTCGAACTTACTCTCAAACTCGGAGACCCCCACGCCTTGAGACGCATGAGGCAACCAGAGATGACCAGGAACATCTTCCTGCTGTTAAGGCCGGGGGACATCCATCTCTTGTCCAGCAGTCTCATGTTGTCCCTCCATCTCTTGTCCAGCAGTCTCAGATTGGGTGGTTGGCGGGTGCTCTAGTGTGGTTTGCTTCTTCTTTTCTATCAATGATCAAACATCTATCGTCCTTATCTCTCCTCCTTCATTTTTTGTGTATGTTACTCTCTAGTAACACATATTTCTTCGGCGCTTTTCTGACCTTATTGCGTTGCAAGTGCAGTAAAACTCCTACTAAAACTAAAGGTTGTCCCTCCATCTCTTGTCCACCAGTCTCATGTTGTCCCTCCATCTCTTGTCCACCAGTCTCATGTTGTCCCTCCATCTCTTGTCCAGCAGTCTCATGTTGTCCCTCCATCTCTTGTCCAGCAGTCTCAGATTGGGTGGTTGGCGGGTGCTCTAGTGTGGTTTGCTTCTTCTTTTCTATCAATGATCAAACATCTATCGTCCTTATCTCTCCTCCTTCATTTTTTGTGTATGTTACTCTCTAGTAACACATATTTCTTCGGCGCTTTTCTGACCTTATTGCGTTGCAAGTGCAGTAAAACTCCTACTAAAACTAAAGGTTGTCCCTCCATCTCTTGTCCACCAGTCTCATGTTGTCCCTCCATCTCTTGTCCACCAGTCTCAGGGTGTTCGCAATCGGCCACCAACAACAAATAACAAACCCCAAAACAACCAAGAAGACAGGTCAAGTCATTAGAAGAGCAATAACAAAAGACAAACGATATGCAGGTATATACGGTTGTCTAGCAGATCAGGTGTACTACTAGGGCCAAAATTTAGATTTTTTAAATATCAAAATTGCAATTTCTTCATCTGTAATATCGGTTGTATGTGCTCGAGAAATATTTTGTCGAAATTTCCATTTCTAAACGTTAAAAAAAAAAAGCAAGAAAAGATACATGACGTATATATGAATGTAAATTAAAAAGAATGAAAGTTTTTTCCTTCTCCTTGAAAATGTTGCTCTCATGGCTAAAGATTCGAGCAACTAAACATGAACGGTACAGCTGACTCGATGACAAAACTCGAGTTTTAAATTGTCCAAGGGAAATAATCTATTAACAACAAGATAGTCAGATCAGACAGCGTTTGCTCCCCTTGTCTAGCTAGATAGCTTCGAACATCCCACGGTTAATATGTGGTCGGTTTTAAGCACAAGGGGGCTATCCCGAAAAATGCTGTTTTAAGAAAATCGAAGATAAAGTTTTTGCCCCTTGCTCAGTTTTTTTTTTTGGTTTTAATGCAAGGAGGGTTCTCTCTATAACCAAACAAATATACACACCAAAGTAACCAAACTTCTCCTATAGATAGGGTAATGCCCACTTTTGGTGTAGGTCAAGATTTTTGGAAACCCCCCAAAATCTGGGTTAGGCCGCTAGTCCTTAAAAGCGACCATTTATTTGTAAAGACAAAAAAATATTCACAAATGTCCCCTTAGGCCTGGTTAGAGTCCTACATTGTCCAACCATTTTTTGTGGGTGGGTAGCGGGTGCTCTAGTGTCGCTTGCTCTTTCTTTCCCATCAAACATCTATCGTCCAACTTCTCCAACTTCTTTTCTGTGTTTGTTACTCTACAGTAACACATTAATCTTTGGCATTTATATGACTTATTTGAGTTTTATGTGCCATAAAATTCTGACGAAAACTACTTTTAAAAACCCTCTCGTTTTGATGTCTGTGCTGAAGTGACTGGGTTGAAAGGAACGACACACAACATATGACCTAGCTACAGCGGAGTCCACGGACATCTAGGGTTGTTTTTTTTTATATATAAAAAAAAATTGTAAAGAGTTTTACGGCGATCGCAACCTACATAAGGTCATATTAATATGAGCGCAGACCTGCAGGGAGTGACCACTGTCCCTGTCACGTGACACTCACTGAGGTCACAACCCCCCCCCCCCAAACCCGTCCACCCGTCCGTCTTCTGCGGATAGTGAGGAGCAAGTCTGTGGTGTAGTAGTTAGGCACTTTGCTGTCGAATGTGGAGACCCGAGTTCGATTCCCGAGTGGAGAGAAATTCTCATCGAGTATCTCTGTCTTTCTGCTGGAATGTTATTTTCATCTCAGACACGGTTGGCCCTGACATGCAAAGTGGGAAGCCCGCCTCCAAAACGATCTAAATTGTGTTGATGGTGGCGTATAAACTCTTATATTATTTTGTTTTAAAAAGATCAACGACAAGTGACACAACCCCATGACCTGTCGGATCGATAACAGCCACACAGCAGCGTGACCAGTCCATGACCCAGTCCATGACCTCACACATCTTTGTGACTCTCAGTCGATAGTCCCGGTTGACCAGTGACCAGTAGTCGGTCGGACAAAAACGGACAACATCCCAACTCAACTCTGTGGCAGTATCACACCACTAGCTCCACTACATGGGAGTTTGCACCGGATTTTATTGGTGGTATCGATAAGTGATGATGATGGTATCGAGTAATCCCACCAGGTGTGGCTGCAAGATGACTTCATTTTGTTCACACAGACCCCAGGACTCTACAAACAATTTGCACGGCGGTAAAAAAAAAAAGGGGGGGGGGGACTGGAAGCCAACTCTAAGACTGATTCCTATATTTAATTAATGTTTCACTTCATAAATCGATATACGTAAGAAAAAATAACAAAAACAGTCTCGACACTTGGGGAAAGGGAAAGGTCTCAAATACACCTAAATATATTATTATATTGCCTGGTACTGGTGCCTGTCTACTCCGCTAAAAAGAATCGATGTAGACAGAAAGAACCGGCACAAATTTCTGCCCCCCCCC